ATATATATATATATATATATATATATGAATCGAAAATCATCCGGAACTAATTTTTATGAAAATCAAAATATTTAAAAACATTATGTTTGGCCTAACTTCAACTTTTATAATGGAGAAACATTTCAAAAGTCTTGCTTTTAATTTTTTTTTATTAGCGAAAGGAAATAATATTAAGTAGGGTCATTGATTAACTCGGAAGATGAGTATCCCATTAAAAGAAAAAAAAAATCAGAAGATGAGCACAAATCTACACATTGTGGGCTAATCAATTTCCTTTATCCAGGGTTATCAATCACTTATAAAAATAAAAATAAAAATAAAATAAAGAAAATGAAACTAGGAATAAGGATAAATGTCACATCATCAATTGCAACGTAGATCCGATGTGGCATCTAACAAGGCCTTATAGAAGACATTGCTAGATGCAACCAGGACTGTGATGTGGGTAAAGAGCAACAGAACTGGCCATGCCCTGTATGCAACCAGGACGTACCTTATGCTTGCTGTGCTTATGAAAGGTGCTTGTTTTGTCTGCCCAAGACCACAGGTCAAGTGCAAAGCGACCTCTCGAGATCTCTCACCTACTCTTCACCTACGGCACCAATTCAAAATGGAGTCTATGATTGGGAACATTTTGTATGTGATTGTGATCTATGTTTCTACAATTTTCCAATGGATTCAGAGCCATTGTTGCATTGTATGTAACTTCCAGCTTGATATCCATTGTGCTTCTATAACCATTGTTCAGCCTCCTAAAGAAATTGGTCAGCAGTCCAAAGAATTCACCATTTTCACGAGCATCAGCTGAGAGCTGACTGCCTGACTCGATTCAGATATTGAAAGATGGTTGTGAGCCTGTGAGGACAACTTATGCCATGGATATGGTGAAGCCTCTATCAAGGATGTCATTGTCATGTCCATCCTTATTGTGACTTCTACAATTTCATGAGTTCTGTACTATTTGAGTTTTCATGATGAGCAAAATGGTCTGAAACTATAGACAGCAAGAAAGGAAAGCAGGGAGCAATAAACACCTAATGCCTGAAGAACATGTACAAAGATTTAGTGAGAGATCAATTCAACTTTTTACTTGTTTGTGCCTAACAGCAGTCATGATACTGCAAGCAATAACCATGGATTTTTCCTACAAACCTCAAGGTAAATCGAATTAAAGACTCACTGCAACAACCTTAACACCGTCCTCTGGATCTTAATGTTGGCAAAAATTATAACTGGGAACCAAAGATATCCATGCCACTAGCAAAAGGAATCATTCTCATACAAAAAGCAACTTGTAACACAGTAACTTATTAAATGGAAAATGAGAAAGAGCAGAAAATCAGAAAATTCCTTGACAAGAAAGTATCCCTTTAAATCATAGGTGATATTCTCTCGAGTATCTCCTTCTCCTTAACAACTCAGTCAATATAAAACGCCTGGCATAATGTTCAAGCACTAAAAATATGGTAGGCCTTTGAAAGCGGCTCCAAATTCAACAAAGTTTAAGTGAAGAAGCAAAACTGCCAGCATGAAATTCAGCTGCAAGAGGAATAAAGATGGAGAATAGAAAGAGAAAAGCTTCTTTAAGTGTAAGGTCATAAACCATTAAGCTTTTCTGTTTTGCTTTAGCTTTTTCTTTCTAGCTCATTGAGTTTCTTTATTTGTTTCTGCTAGCTTTCCTTCAAGTACCTGTGTTACAGAAAGGAAAAGGCTGTCAAGGTGCATCTCAACCTACACTCAAAAGAATGCCCATCACTTAAAAGACTTAGGAGCCTTCAAATTATGCAGTTTTCAGTCTGGACTGACTAAAAAATTTACAAGTTTGTGCTGAAAAAGACCAGTCTGCCCTTAACGAATCAAGAGATGTGCCAACCCATAAAGGATAGTTTGGTCTTTTACAGGCCAACTGGAAATTTTTTGGCCAGTCTGGACTAAAATAAAACTTTCTGTTTTAACAAAGCTATGAAGAAAGCTTAAAGTATCTAGAAAAGTAGGAACGCACTAACACTCACAACTCAAATTGGTCATCCACTATTTGGCACTGATATGTAGAATTTTAGCAGATTAAGAAAAAATGGTCCTGAGCAAAGACTTTTTTTTTTACAAAGCAGATGCCTTTTTTTAATGCAATACCATCTCTAAGCACAATTGCAGCATCTTCAATCAAAGCCTTGATCATTCTTTTGGCTTACTTTTCTTTAAAGATCAGAATCTTTTTTCCAGTTTTCCTGTACTAAAGCATCCATAAAAGGTATTCTAAGGCAGGTAGTGGAGGTGACAGATTCTTATATTCTCCAATTTAAGGACAGTAAAGTGGTCTGACCTGTTTTCATGAAGCTTGCGTTCACAACTAGAGAAACAGAACTCTTGACATTGCCTAGACCCTTTCCTGAAACCAGCAGCTCCAAATCAACTACAAAGCTTCCAAAAGCCCCCAAAATCATTACACTTTTGCACCTGTTGATGCAGAAAAAGATCGTTAGCTTGATTGCAAATTTCTTTGCAAGATCAGAGCTCAGTGAGCTGAATACAGGTCAGTAAAGGTCCTAAAAGATTTGAAGTTTTATGCATAGTTCCAACAGTGCAACTACATATAATAAATTTTTTTTCTTTTTCTCTTTGTGTGTGATTGTGAAGAAGATTGAGAGAAATTTCAGCATACAAAAACTAATTTGTTAGCTTCTACTAATACTGAGTCGTGAATATCCTTGCAGCTGAGGACACAGAGATTAACAGGCTGTGGACGTGGTCACAGAACCCTTCCATATTATCAACTTAAATTTTGAAGCAGCAATCATATTTCAGAGGGAAAACTAGAAGAGGAGTCTTCAAACCAGTACATACCAATGAATCCACTGTCACGAGAAGACTTCAAGTTGAAGGATACAAAACCCCAACTAGGAGAGCGATGGCCACATGGAGTAGTGCGTGGTAGTGGATGGATTGGTAGTGAAAGAGCTGCAAGTACTTATGATCTCGTTGAGCAGATGTTTTACCTATACGTCCGAGTTGTGAAAGCCAAAGACCTTCCACCAAGCCCTGTTACTGGCAGCTGTGATCCATATGCCCAAGTGAAGCTAGGGAACTACAAGGGAAAAACAAGGCACTATGAGAAGAAAACGAACCCAGAATTCAACCAAGTTTTTGCATTCTCAAAAGACAAGATCCAGTCTTCAGTCCTGGAGGTCTATGTCAAAGACAGAGAGATGGTGGGCAGGGATGATTACATAGGGAAGGTGACCTTCGACATGCATGAGGTGCCTACAAGGGTTCCACCTGATAGCCCTCTGGCACCACAATGGTACAGATTAGAGCATCGCCATGGGGACAGGAAGGTGAAAGGACAGATTATGCTAGCAGTTTGGGTGGGAACACAAGCTGATGAAGCATTTCCGGAGGCCTGGCACACTGATGCTGCTTCAGTCGATGGTGAGGGTGTTTACAGCATCCGATCAAAGGTCTATGTTTCTCCCAAACTATGGTATCTCAGAGTTAACGTCATAGAAGCTCAGGATTTAGAGTCACTTGACAAAAACCAATTACCACAGGCTTTTGTCAAGGCTCATGTTGGGAATCAGGTACTGAAAACCAAGCTTTGCCCCACAAAAACCACCAATCCTACTTGGAATGAAGATTTGTTATTTGTGGTAGCTGAACCTTTTGAGGAACATTTGGAAATAACGGTTGAAAACAAAGCAACCTCCGCAAAACATGAAACCATGGGGAAGAAAATCTTGCAACTCACCGACTTCGAGCGGCGTTTGGATCACCGGCCAGTCCATTCTAAATGGTACAACCTGGAAAGATTTGGATTTGGCGTTCTGGAGGGAGACAAGAGGCATGAACGCAAATTTTCGACAAGGATTCATCTCAGAGTTTGTCTTGAAGGTGCTTACCATGTACTAGATGAATCGACTTTGTACATAAGTGATGTCCGCCCCACTGCAAGGCAGCTATGGAAGCAGCCGATTGGGATCCTTGAAGTAGGCATCTTGAGTGCTCAGGGACTTTCCCCAATGAAGTCAAAGGATGGGAAGACAACCACAGATGCCTACTGTGTAGCAAAATATGGGCAGAAGTGGGTGCGTACAAGAACCATAATGGAGAGCTCCAACCCCAAGTGGAACGAGCAATACACTTGGGAGGTCTATGATCCTTGCACGGTGATCACACTAGGAGTTTTTGACAACTGCCACTTGGGAGGAAGCGAGAAACCATTATCTGGGGGTGGAGCCAAAAATGATTCAAGAATTGGGAAAGTAAGAATCCGACTCTCAACCCTTGAAACAGATAAGATTTACACACACTCATACCCACTTCTTGTTCTGGGATCATCTGAGGTGAAAAAGATGGGTGAGCTTCAGTTGGCATTTAGATTCACCTGCCTATCTCTGGCTCACATGATATACCTCTACGCCCACCCATTACTACCCAAAATGCATTATCTCCATCCTTTCACAGTGAACCAGCTAGACAGCCTGAGGTATCAGGCTATGAGGATTGTAGGGGTGCGACTCGGCCGGGCAGAGCCGCCCCTCAGGAGTGAGGTGGTGGAGTACATGCTGGACGTGGATTCCCACATGTGGAGTATGAGAAAAAGCAAAGCAAACTTCTTCAGAATCGTCTCCCTCTTCTCGGGAGCCATTGCCATGAGCAAATGGCTTGGCGACGTGCGCTACTGGAAGAACCCGGTGACTACAATCCTAGTACATGTTCTGTATTTCATACTCATATGCTACCCGGAATTAATCCTCCCCACAATCTTCCTCTACATGTTTCTAATTGGGATTTGGAATTACCGGTTCCGGCAGAGGCATCCTCCCCACATGGACACCAAACTTTCATGGGCAGAAGTGGTTAATCGCGACGAATTGGACGAGGAGTTCGACACATTCCCTACGTCAAAAGCCCAAGACGTGGTGCGGATGAGGTACGACAGGCTCAGAAGCCTGGCAGGGAGAATCCAGACGGTGATCGGAGACATGGCTACTCAGGGAGAACGGCTTCTTGCGCTGCTCAGCTGGAGGGACCCCAGAGCCACTGCCCTATTCGTAGTATTCTGTTTGATTGCAGCTGTTGGGCTGTATGTGACTCCGTTTAGGATAATAGCTATGGTAGCTGGGTTGTTCTTGCTCCGGCACCCCAGGTTCCGGAGCAAGCTGCCGTCTGTACCCATCAATTTCTTCCGGAGACTACCGTCCCGGGCTGATGGCATGCTCTGAAGGGTACTGAAGATGGGCATCCAGAGATTTTTCATTTAAAATTTTTTTTATTTGCCATATTGAATGTTTATTCCCCAATATAAATTAGGAAAATATTTTCTTTATGCATGTTTCGACAGCTGAGAGTTTGAGTTTCAAAATAAAATATATTTCAAGTTCAACTCCTGAGACGGGTAACGAAAAACACAAAATTCTTGCAAGAAGAAACTAACTTGTATACAAAATTCGGAATAGAAAAACTCAGAACCAGAAGAAATCCAAAGAAAAACAATTATCACGATTAAACTCTTAAATCCAAAACTCTCTCCTCTAGAAGACAAGCTCGTGTGGTTTCATGCCGGCCTTAAGAGAGAATCTTGCAGCAAGGTAAGCCTTCAAGTCTGGGACACCCTCTATGGACTTCAACAAGGCAGCATCTACAGTTTTCTGATCATCTTTCTTTTCATCGGGCAATGCCTTCTTGTCCTGCAGTTCAGTTAAGTACCAAACAATTAAACTCAACACAACACTTAGTTGAGATACTACTTAAAAATATGGTTTTAAAGACACACAACATGAACATTTCTGCACTAGACAATTATAATCCAAGAGATTAGACATAAGACCAGTATAATATCACATGAAGAACCCTCCCATGTGAGCCAAAGCAATATGAACAATTGAGGGGTAAAACTAACCTCTTTCTCTGCCTCAAAGAACTCGCCCTCTCCCTTCTTTTTCTTTTTCTCAACTTTCTTTGCAAAGTATTTGTCATCAAATTTATCAACATTAACACCAGAGATGTCAACCTTGGTGGAAGTTGCAATGACATAGGCTTGATTCACTCGCCTTAGAGGTACACCATTAATCTTGAATGGACCTGCAATAAAATAAAAACTCACCGTTTAAACCAAGCAAAGTATGCGATGATGGAGTATGAAAGATTTACAAGAGAATTGTAGTAGTTGCAAACATCAAATAGAAAATGCTTTCACCATGTCCTCTCCTCCAACCCATAACAACCAAAAGATAGAAACATGAGAGTTAAATTAAGACTAGAGGTCACCCAAGGGAACACAGTTGCATTCTAGTTCTAGCATAGCAAACATAGAACGGATTTCTTTACAAAGCATCTAACCCAAATTCAATGAATCCTATATAAGAAATACCACCATCTATAATATAACTATAAGCATGATTTGCTCTAATATGTAAGATATATAAACTAAAAATAATATGTGCTAGAAGCAAAACAAAATTTTCACATAAACCCACAACAGTCTGCAGCAACCCAAGTTAACATTGATGGCAAATTAATATGATTTATTTCAGAAACATTACTTAAATCCACAAGAGATATTACATTTCTTTTCCATTACTCAATTCAAATAAGTGAATGAAAGTTAACAAGCCATCCGAGATTTGGAATATAACAACTAGAAGACGAACTTCATCATAATGCTAACATTAACAGGAAACTCACCAGTAACCAAAAGCAATCCGGAAGGAAGCTGCTTCAAGAAAACAACTCTCTTCCCCATGAACCTACCAGCCAAGAGAATCAAGACCGTCCCAGGAGTAATGCTCGCCCTACAGAACAACCCCAAAAAGAAAAACGCAATTAAAAGACAAAGAAACAATCTTTCAGAGATCAGGAAACAGAAAAACCACTTTACAAGAACCTGAGCTTGGTGGGTTTGGGCTTGTGCTTGTTCGCCAACGGTTTCTTGACGTCGTCGGCAGGGTAGAACTTGGGCTGCTTCTCGACTGGAGCAGGTGCCTGGGGCTTGGGGTCGTGGCGAGGGAACACGCCGCCGTGTTTGGCCTTGATGGCCCAGAGGCCGCGCTTGTGGTACATCTTGGACCTGGAGTACTTCCCCACTCCACGGATTAGATCTGGGTTCCGGCTAGTCTTAGGGGTCTTCCTCGCCGCCATCTTGCTACTCTTCTGCTCCGGCAGCAACTCGAGAAAGAGAGTGGGAAATGTAAAACCCTAAATCGCATTATAAGTAAATAATAAAAGATTTAACGAATTTGTTTTGGTTAAAATACAAATTTAGTTCCTCAACTTTTAGATTTGTATCAAGATTGTTATAAAACTTTAAAAAACTATTAAAATTGTCTTTAAACTTTAATTTTTAGTTTCAAAATAATCTTTAGACTTTAATTTGATACCAAATTAGTCCTTCAACTGTAAAGACAAGTATCAACATAAATCTTAAACTTTGATTATAAATACTAATTTAATTATTCAACTTTAATTCATGTATAATTAGAAATATATCATGATAATGAAAATATAACATTAATTTTACATGCATTAATATTTAAAAAAAATTAATTTTATGATAAAATAATATATATCATGATAATAATATAAAATTAATATATAAATACTAATTTAGTTATTCAACTTTAATTAATATATAATTAGAAATATATCGTGATAATAAAATATAACTTTAAGTTTACATGTATTAATATTTTAAAAAAGAATTAATTTTATGATAAAATAATGAATCATGTGACACTTTTATTAATAGAAAAACTATTTTGGAGTCTTTCGGTACAAAAACTAAAGTTTAAGGATAGTTTTGATGTTTTTTGAAACTTAAGGACAATTTTATACAAATATGAAAGTTGAGGCACCAAATTAGTATTTTAACCAATTTTTTTCGTATTTTTTATTTTTTATTTTCATAATTTTTTAGGACGGGTTGGGCTTTCTGGGGGATGCGGTCCAATGACCCATATTGATAAGCCCACCAGGAGTTTCTCTTTTCATTTTTCTTTTTGGGTTTTAAGCCCATAACGAGTATTATTAGGCTAGGCCTTAAACAAAAAACAAACTGAGAAACGCCGTCTGTGGGAATCGAACCCACGACCACATGGTTAAAAGCCATGCGCTCTACCGGCTGAGCTAAGACGGCTTGGGTTGTTATTGTTCATCATAGAAATTATCTATAGTATGAGTTAATAATGCTCTTCTTAGCTCAAGCTATAATGGTTTGTAATTGAGAAAACTATTTCTAATAGGGTAACAAAGTATTGGCTTTAAAAATATAGAATCTTGAATTAGGGACAACTTTTATCTGCAATTTTAATTTGTAATTTACATATGTTATTAATTAAGTAAATATATTTAATATTACGAATTCTATTAAAATAAAAAGAATTGATCATTAATTGATATGTTAAGTTGTAAGCGAAAACTATAGTACCTAAAAATTGTCATCATATTCATTTTCCATAATTTTCCATATTATTTTAAGTAAGATTTTTTTAAGCACACATGATGACGGTGAATTAATTGTTATGGAAAAAAAATAAAAATAGATTTCAATTTTATCAACTGTTCTATTAAAAGAATCTAAACATGTCATCAGTGTAGAAAATAAATTTAATTTTTATATTTTTTTTATAAAAATTAATAAAAAAAAATATACAATTAATTCACTTTTAACCCATGCATTAAATAAACAAACCCTGCAATAGCACACTTAGTCCTCACCTGCCCTAAATTCTGATAGACACAGACCTTGAGGGGAAATTGACCCCCCACCGCCGTGGTTAAATGGCTAATTGGACCACCAATTCAATTTGACACTGGACTATGGACAGATTGCTAGGCCTAGAGCCAATTGGGCCACAGATAGCCCCATTCTAACCCCTAGGCCTCCTTTCGGTCATAAAATTTTCAATTTCATTCATTTGAAAATAAATGCCACCCATCATAAGCTTTGCAAGATAAAATTTTAGTTCATGTTGAAAATGACACAAAATAATTGAACAATTCAAAACTAATGCCTACAACAATTTAAGCCAATTATTTTAATCATCCATTTGTCCATTGCAAACAATTCTAACTTATGATTTGAAGTTTTGAAAATGAAAGATCAAAAAAAATTGTTGAAGAAGGTGAATATGGAAAGTTCAAGCGAATTAAAGTCAAATTGAACAACCCTTGGAATTCCCTTGGATCCAACTAGAAAAGTCCAAAGGTCACCACATGATGTAACCAAGTTATAATTTGTCATGTTCATCTTCAAAGACATGCCTGCGCCAACACCTAGGCTGAATGGACTGTTCTGTTCCTTCTCTTACAATCAAAGAATTTTTCTCTTCATTTACACAAATGCACCCACCAAACAATCAAGCTCCGGCCCTACTCAAGAAGCCGTCGTTTTAGTTGACAAAGGAATTTATTCTTCATTTTGTTGGCTAAGATTCGATTTCTTATGTGACCTATGATGAGAAGGTAAATTCCTTATGAATTAATTTCTTAATCTTAATGTAGATGACCTACCTCTAACTGGATTAAGAAGGGATTACCCTTTGCATGCAAGTTGATTCAAAAATACCTTGATGGCCAAACAATAATAATAGCAATAGAGCATACATAAAATAGGATGCCCTTTAATGTCAGGATGTCCAATGACAACTATCATCTAAGTGGAGCACAACTATCATTTAAGTAGGATCCTACTTAAATGATAGTTGTAATTGGATGTTATGATAATTTTAATGTCAAAATGTTCTAATTTTTACTTTTCTAATAACAATAATAATAAAACACTTTGCATCTTCTCAATGCCTTTGATCTTCATCCCTTCCTGAAAACACCCTAATGGCTAAACAATAATAATAATAATAATACTGCATCTTCTCAATGCCTTTGGTCTTCATCCCTTCCCCAAAAAATCCACAACATTTTCTCAGTCAGAAATGGCTGCAAAACCATTCCCCTCCCCCCTCAGAAACTCATTTTCATGAAGGAAAAATTTAAACTCAAAAGAAACTGAAATTAGAGACTTCTAAAAAGTTCTAAATTTAAGTTAATCTATATTCCCTTGTCTATGATCTATACATCTCTGTAAAGGAGGAAAAGGAAATATCATCATTGAAGTCAATGATCATGATTAGGAGATGAGATTAAAGGGTGTGTGTATATATATATATATATATTTCAAAGTTTGCTACATATGACCTAGGGCTATGATTTCTATTGTTCCTGGCGTGGTCGAGCCATCCAGAGAGAGCTGAGGGCACGGAGGCGGTGGAAGTACTCTGCAATGGCCAGCAAACACCTTGCAGCTTGGCGTGTCGTCAGGATCTGATTCAGTCGGTGGATGGTTTGGTGCCTCAGATTATCAGCCTGTAATTAAGTTTTCCAATTTTATAAATTTTTTTTGAAATAGATATCAATATGAAAGCATATATACAACATGATAAAAGGTGTGAGGTTATTGTAAAATTCTAAATAATTAATATCATATTTTTTTTAATTTAATTAATTATTATACTCTTGCACTACTTTTTTTTTTTTTTTTGAAAGACACTGATATATATAACCTTTGGTTCAATGCTATCCACAACATTCTCACTAAAAATTATTATTTTTAAATTTGAATTAAAGATAAAAAAATTTTAAATTTTCATATTTTAATGGTTGAATTGAATAGTATTAATGGATGTATTAAATCAGAAGATGTACCAAACTTTTTTTTTTTTACAAACTTCTCATTTTTTTTCATTTCTCAAATTAAATTAAAACATATAATGACCAATTAAAATAAAAATATGTTCTATTAGTTATTGATGGTGTGGTAATAACACTTCCCAAGTTTAGCATCTTGCAACCTAGATTAATAGCTAAAGATACATCTCAACTCTCAATAGTTAATTAATTAAGAATTTAATTCTCTAGTTGTATGTCAGAAATTCAAACCTTTTACAACAAGATGAGAAGGAAATTTGAAAAAAAAGAGTTATTGACTTATTTTTATATATAAAATAAGAGGAGATATTCACTTAAAAAATAGTGTTTATCCGCTTTACCTCATAAACATTAGAAAGAATATTATTCCAAAACTACATCATTTTAATAAATACCTATTGAAAAAGACTAAAATATCATATTTTTAAAACATAAATTAGGGTATTTTTTGTCATTTTTCCTCCTAATTTTTTGGCGATAACGCAGACAAGCACTAACCTCATTCACTTATACATAAATTTTATATACTATACATATATAAAATTTCAACCATATATCTTTTCACCTTCAATATTTGAGATTTATCATGATATTTTAAATAAAAACAATAATTATTTTTAATAAAAGTGAATAAATTTTAACTATTAAAAGTGAAGAGATAAATGTTTAAGATTTTGTATAAGTGTAATGCATAAAACTCGTGTATAAGTGTAACCTTACTCATATCATAATAAATAAGACAATAACTAATACACCTTTTAGTTTAACATATCATACAGCACGTTCATTAAAAAATTATTATTTTTAAATTTGAATTAAAAGTGAAAAAACTCAAAATTATAGATTTTAATAATTGAACTGGTAGGTGTTATGAAATATGTTAAATCAAAGGGTGTACCAATTATTTTCTTAATAAATATATAATTCATTATTAGATCTAATAAAAATGTTTAAATTAAGACTTTAAGAAACAAAATTAATTAGGAATAATATGGTTTGTTAAACTCTAAACAGGCTATCTACCCATGACTTTTTTGGCACTTAGGGTTCTGCTTTTCAAATAGATCGAGGAATTAAGGGCAAATTGAAAATGATTTGGGGTAGCAATTAAATGTTTCATTTTCTTGGTAAAGTTCTCAGTACCAACCTGTATTTCTAGATGTTTATCAGGACACATGTTTTTCAATCAATCCTTCTAATTAAGATCATTATATGTAGACCATATCTATCAATGATAATAATTATACTAATTAAGACCAAAGAAGAAACAGTCCAACATTCTATTAAGTGATAATTATGTGGGCTAACATGAAATGATGGTTAATACGACTTCCTGTAATTTGATGTAAATAAGAGGCCATCAATTTGTCCCCCCCCCCCCCATCAAAATGCATCCCCCTTTAATGTTCATATGCAATTTTGATGAATGGGTTTATGTGCAAGCGTTCAATAATACTTAGCCTATTTCAATCTTCATGAACAGTCAAGAAAAGGACTGAAGAGGTTATGGAATTATGGCTTATTATTAGGACATGGTCTCTTAGGATATGTCTAAGTCAAGCGGTTAGGACTTCATGACATCATGTACATATGGGCATTGGAATAACTCCATAGATGTCCATTTGTCCATCAATTTGGTCCCCATCAATGTGCAGGCTCCATATAATATATGCGTGCACGTTTGCTATTAGTATGCAGTTCTTTATAATTTAAATTTCAATTTAGCCTAACTTTTAGAACAATTTCTCTAATTTTCTTTGTTTAAACATGAATTAGTTCGACTATAAAATTTGTTACTTACTTGTTGACCTCAAATTTGTTATTGGAATGAGGTATGTGCTCCAAAAATTAACTACAAACCTAACAATGCCTAGGTTGTCAAAAGTCACTATCATAGGAATAATGCATGAAACCCCGGCATTTGATGGGAGTGAAAAGTGTACTTGAGTCCGGACCATGGTTAACCCTACACAAGTAATAAACGGAGTGGTTCATGGGACAACATTAGCTGGGGTTAGGTTGGGTTTTCCCAACCCAGACAGAACCACTGAGATTCTTGTTTTGTCTCTTTCCCAGTTTGCCCCACACTTTGATCACCCCAATCACCATCATCCCATGGGTCCCAAAACCCATCAAACGGCAACAAACCCATCACGAACTTTAGCACAAGAAAACAAGTACATACCTAACTAGAGCAATTCGAGAAAGAGCAATGTGTGTAATTAACGCACCTGTCTTACAAAACCCTCTAAGGTTGAGAGCTTGCTCATTGCTATGGCCATCTGACCCATGTAGTTGGTCATGTTCGGTGGGCAACTGAGTGAGTCTGAGGCAATTATGTCCGAAAGCGACTGGTTCAATGCTTCCTGCCCTTGAGATAGAGCTTCCTCCGAATCATGTGTCGATTGTTGCAATGCACATATGCCCATTATCTGTTGCTCTGTCATTGGCTCGATCTGACTCAGAATAATCTGAAACAGATATTCAACAAGAACTTAATTAAGTTCTTACAAGCTTCAATTATATAGTAACGACATGATTCAAATTTCTATATCTCTTCTATAATTTTTGTATTCATTTATTTATTCACTAGAAGCCATCAAAGGGGATGTAATTGTAGATGAAGAAAAAATCCATTATTTTGTATATGAATGCAAAAGAAAGAGAATAGAACCGTGCAATTCTCTACTTCTATAGAGGTATAAAATATGCAGGGAAAGGTAAAAGCTTTATGGCATGCCAACTATCTAAACCCTTTTAATAGAAACATTCACAACGGCCTTTCGTCATTCATTGATGTATTCAACACCTTGATTGAGCCACCACCAAAATCTGCACCATGCAATAAAACATGACCCCCCCATCTCTACTCTACCAAATTATTACTATCTTCTTCAATGATTTTATAGCACGCACGGCTTTGAAGATTCTAAAATTAAAATTTTGAGGGAGGAGATTGCAAAAAAGAGCAAGAAGGAATATATAGGGGCCAAATAGTACACAAAGCTAAGAGGGAATTTTTGTCCTTTTATTGGGTATTTAAGTACCTTTTTTGCATTATATTAAGTGGTCTAAGTGGGATTAGATGTGATTGAATAGAGACAGATCGATCTTTTGGTGCATTCCTCTTGTCAATGTTCTCAAGCAGTTTTGAAAATCAAAATTCTATTGTGCGGTTGAAATGGGATCAAGTAGTTTGTGTTTTAGTTTTATAATTCAGCGGACTCTCAACTACAAAATATTGTACTGTTTGAGGATATTTATTTATAAAGTTTATATTGAGTATACCTTGATGAGTTCAGAAGGCCGGAATCCACCCATCCACATGAAACACCGTTCTGTCGGGGTCTTCCACATGCCGGAAAGCAGGTGGAAGACGTCGGTCTTTGCCGCCATGCTCTTTAGGTTGACAAACTCATCGAAGTGAGCCAAGCAGTTGTCCACAAACATCCGTAGCTCGTTCTCCGGCAGATGCTCCTGAACGGCTGCACGGAGCTCGCACGTCAGACGGTGGTGCTCCTCTAGCCACCTTCCATACTCCATGTCAAACACCGCAGCATCTAAATAAAAATAAAAAGTTAATTATTTATATTAATTATATTGAGTATTAATTTTCTTAATAGCAATTTTGAAATATATTTACCTGAGCTAATGTTGCCAATACCAACAGGAAGACCTTGTTCTCCCCCAAAAATACCTCCACCAAAAAATATGCCCTAAAAATAGAGAGACCCAGAAATTTTAATGTTCATAAATACCACCTAAAAAAAATGATTTTCCAAAGTTTTCATTTAGAAAAATAAATTAATCTTTCACCTGAGATCTGGCTCTCTGAAGTTCTCCTTCAATTTGGGTAAGTCTAATCTTACTTGATTCAAGCTGTTGCACATAAGCCTGTAATGAAACAAAAATATACAGGAAATTAATAAACCCTAAAATACAATATTAAAAAAAATCCATTTTCTTTTTATTTGAGGTTTGTTAATTTGACCAAGTTGAAAAAAAAAAAAAAAAAACCATAACCTTTTTCCTTAATCTGCTTTTCCTTGCTGCCTCTCTATTCTGAGCAAGTCTTCTCAATGTCTGCTCCAAAATAATCAGATAGCAAATACTCAACACATCTTCCATAGAAAAAAATAAAAATAAAAAGCAAAAAAAGCGTTGAGCATAATATGATATCCGAAAACTGACTTATGATATCATTTGAGATAATCCAATAATTATATGAAAAGAATATGATACCTTAGGGTCTGGTGTTTTAGGTCCTTCTTGATCTGAGTTGGACGTAGTAGGACCTTTGCGATTCCCACCGCGCTACCAAAAAAATAATAAAAGCATTTAATACTAATTTTTCAAACACTAAAAAATTCAAAGGGAATCTCAGTTTTCCAACAAGAAACACACCAGACTTGATTTAATTATTATGTATATGTATATATATATATATATATAGGGTTAGTATGTATTACGTACCTTGACGGTTTTAGCCGGTTCAGGTGCAGCACCGGGATCGCTTTTAGGTTTGGCTAACTCCATAGTCGTTGGCTCTGATGGTCTCTTTGAACCACTAGTTGCAGGAGAAATTAGTCCTGTACTGTTTCCCTACCAAATACCAAAAACAAATCTCCCTTAGAAAAATTTACTAAAATGAAAAATTCGAACTCGAGATGGACTCATGGTATTGTGTCTTTTACCTTCACAGATGAAGTCGGCTCGACGTGCATCGGTTGAGAAGGAAAAATATTCAGAGTTGGAGGTCTCATCCCAGAATTAATCTCTGCAAAACAAAAAACCCCCCAACAAAAAGGAATTTAAGTATTAAATTTCAGAATTAAATTCAAGAGTTCAAACCTCTACAATAAAATAAGGGACATAAAGGTAGAGATTTGGGAAGGAGAAAGAATATAGAGATGGTCATGCATTTACAGTGTTCTGCCACGGAAAAAGAAAGAGAAAGAAAGAAAAGGGAAAAGGAGAGAAAACCCATACCCTATTCAGTTCATGGTCCAAGTTAAAAGGAATAAAATCAGAAGGGAAGAAAAAGGAAAAGAGAAAGAGAAAAAGGTTCGTTTGTTTTCTTGAAAATTGAAATTACTTCAAAGATTTGGTTCTGCTGCCAGGATCTGGTCAAAGAAAGTACTGGCTGCGGATTTTTTGATCTGGGTCTGAAACATGTTTTTCCCGTGAACCAAACAAAGGGAGGCAGAAGGAAAAAAAGAAAGAATATACTCACGCTTTTGTTCTTGGATAGTAGAAGGGTCTTGTCCATCAAAATAGAGGAAGAGCGCTTGATCGAATTCTCCAAAATCATAAGCTCCAGCATCTTTGCTTCTGCTCAATTAGAAAACAAAACCAAAATTTTAATATAAAATTTTTCAAAACATATTCACCAGTAAAATTCAAGAAGTTTTCTGGATTTCAGAGAATATTACATGAAGTTTCCATTGAGGATTGAGGAGGATGACGAGGATGATTGAATCATAGCAGCATAAGGAATCTGATTATGGACATGCTCCGGTATCTGATGATGCTGATGTTGATGATGCTGATGATGATTATGATGGTCAAGTTGGATGGTGTTGTTTTTGCTGCTCGCCATGAAAGCAAAATTCAAAACTCACTAAAGTTACTTGGGTTCGATCTTAATCTTGCTTTCTCCTCCCCACGGAATTCAGTGTCTCATCATCATCAATACCCCCATTAATGGCGAAACAACCTTCCTTAAATGGTCTCCAAAATCATTTTAGATGCCTAGAGAAAGACAGAGCTGATGAGTCGGTTATAATTGAAGAAGAAGATTGAATGAGAGGAGCAAAAAAGAGAGAAGAAACAGAATTGAATGCAAAGGAAACAAAAGACAAAACCTTTTTGTACTTCAGTTCTCTTTCTCTCTCTAGGAAATGAAACAGAAGACTTTTATTTTGTTTGCAGAATTAAAGTTTCTCAGATAAAGCGGTCTTAATTTATCCTGTTCAACTCTTTCTCTGTCTTGGAAAAAAAATTGAAAAGAAAGAAAGAAAAAAAAATGGAATTAAATGAAGAAATGGAGAAAAGCAGTAGGGAGGGGTTTATTTGAAACCGCTTATTAATGTATGGAATCCTTGGTTGAATTGAGTTTTTTAATGTGGTTGGTTTGAGTGACGAAATTGCCCTTAAGGTTTTGGGATTTTACGATTGACATTTTCATGCAAACTTGCACGTTGATGTATGGCGGTGGCGGCTGGCTAGAGACGGAGCTTGATCAGCAAGACGTCAAGGGGTTACAAAATTTTTTAAGGGTGCAACTTACAAAAAATAAATTTTAGAGGGGCCAATGAAGTAAAAAAATTAAGGGTAAAATATAAATAATTAAGGTATTAAATGATAGGAAAAGGAAAAATCAAGAGGGTTTAGCATAAAGAAAATGATAAGACATTTAATAATAATTATAGTCTATACTATACCCTATATATTTAATTATTATAATTAAACATAAAAATAATAAGAAATCTTGATTTTTCTTTTTTTCTTAAATGATATCTTTAAACGCTTAGATTAAAAATTATTATAGTAATAATAAATTAAGAAGCGATAATGTTATAATATGATATCATATAAGATTATAAATTTATAATTATAATATATTATTAAATTAATATTTATTAATCAAATTTCACCATTAATTTAATATAAAGAAATTACTTGAGATTACTTAAGCGTAGACTTGAGGTCCTCTTATTGTTGTGGAATATCTTCATAGGTGTTCCTTTTGTAATGCTTACTTGAGATTATGAGTAGAGTACCTCTTGTACTCCTTATCCTAATAAATTATTTTGATTCATCAAAAAAATTTAATATGAAGAAAGATTTGGACGGTGAGCTTGGGCATCCATCATCATAGACGTAAATGGTAAAACTGCTAAACGACGGTTTGAGCCTTTGAGGTCAGCTAATTTAGGCATTCATCGTCCAGTTGTAATTACTAATAAAAGATAACTAACTATTGCATAAATAACTATTATTAATTCTTGAAATTTCCGATATATTAATAAAGGCTTCCTACACTTAATAGTCTAAATCCATCACAAATACATCTTCATATATTATGACTTATATGGCGCTCGTCATAGAATTTTTTCATGTGCCTGTTTTGATAATCAACAAAACTATGATAATTTATTTAAAAAAATTATTATCCCACTCATCAAAAGAAGAAGAAGAAAAAAAAAAAACAACTAGTACTCCTGTATTTACCTAATGTCAACCGTACATGGTATATACTCTTGTCTGTGATAACTGCTTGATACAATAGAACGACTACTTACGTGTGTATATATATATAGTATAGTAAGTCCCAACTAAATTAAACTTAGTCAAACAAAAGTTAGGATACATATCATGTTTCAATTATTCAAAATAGATTAATCAACAAAATTACATAAAAGTACACATGATAGGACTCAAACCTAGAGGTTCTACTATCTCTTGTACGTGAATAATAAATTATTTTTACTAATAAGAATATTAAGAAATTAAAAAAAAATTGTGAAGTGTACTCCCAATGCAAGGAATGGTTATGTCATATAATAAATTGTTAGGAACTTATGACACATAAACTTTTAAATATTGTATTTTAAAATCTTGATTTTATTTAGTTTCATTGTTAAAAACAGAGAAAATATGTGGATAAAGATACACACTTTGTCCTTTTTTTATTTTAAAATGTAAATTTTATCTACTTTTAAATAAAGATGTAAATTTTTAACTTTTTTTTAAGGATATCAATTTTATATTTTTCTATTTAAAAAATTTTTTTTAGATGAATCAAATATTTTATTGTAATGAGGAGTACAAGTGGTACTCAACTCTTAGCCTCCAAGAGACATTACAAAAGATAACCTATGAGAACATTCAAAAATCAAAACTAAATGTCTGACAACAAATTTAGTTTTTAGTGATTTCTTGCACACATAGGCTAGGAAAATTACACCAACTAAAAAAGGAGAACATAGTGTTTACAGATTTCCCCTTAATCCATGCAAAAGACCTCCTTTTTAAGAAAGTCATTTCTGATATCAACTTTACCATCCAATTAATTATTAAATAAAAAAAACACAAAATTAACACACTTAGATAGACAAAACACAAAATTAACATTTTTAAATAAAAAAAATTGAAAGATTACTATCTTATTTAAAAACTGATAAAATTTGCATGCTTAAATAAAAAAAAGTTGTATCCTTATTAGCACATTTTCTCATTAAAATAAATTAATAATTATAATTGTTAATTGATAAATAAAAATAGTTGATATTTATTATTAGTTAACATATTAAAATCAATTCATATATTGATATTTTTAAATAAGTCTTTCATTTTACAATCTAAAGTATACTAAATTATAAAATAATTTTTTATTTTTAAATACTATAATTAATTATTTACACACCAAAAAAAAATGTGACCCAACAAAATCTATTCTATGTGCTAAACCACTTCCACACTTCCACATAATGAACGTTAGAGAATCCAGAGGGTACAATTGTCAAAGTGGAAAGCAAACGATGTCTTTTCTTGAAAAAAAAATTAAAAAAATAAAAAATAATAAGAAAGAAAATTACGAGATAGTACAGGAGGCAGGTGTCCATCAGAGAATCAGGTAGGGCCGTTGACTTGGACACGCGTCAGGTAGAGTTCACATTTCATCTTCGGGGGGGAGTTGGAGGTGGGACCCATAGCTCTGGCAAAAGTTATCAGGGATCAAACGGCTCCCAGTTTGGTGGGGTCCAGGAGACCGGCCCCACCCCCATCCATTCCGCGAGATTTTTGGCTTCTTTATCTCAACTGCTCCGAACAAGGAGATTTCATTTTATTTTTTTCTCCTTGACTAGAGATAGTATGCTCTCTTTCCCCCTTTGATATTCCCAATTTTGAGATTATATAAAAAAATTAATTTAAGGATTATGATTATCAGTTAAACCTTTAAAAGATTAGAGAAAAAATGTGACAAAATTCTATTGTTTTAATAAAGTATAACAAAAAAAATTAAGATAATCTTTTTTTCTTTAAAAATAAGTTATTTTATCTTTTTTAATAAAAATTTATTAAAATGATATAGTTTTTTATTGTATGCTTCGGTTAAAAAGGTAAAAAAAGAGGAAAGACTCATCCATTTCTCTCATTTAGATAAATAAAAAAAAAAAGTGAATGAAATTCTTTTCCTACAATTGATAACATTCACTGAATGTTTTACTGAAAAAAATTAATAATCGCATAGCTCCATATATGTATTTATATATATATAACGAAAAATGGTATATATACCTTGCAAATTTACGCATTTAACCAAGTTGATAGTATATAGGGCATTGATGACTCTTGGTGGCGTGAAGGGGAACTGTCATTTATTCTTCTGAAGAGTATTTAGAAGTAGATCGAACATTAATGATGAATACTTCTGAAGAGTATTGAAAGAAAACTTTCATCCATGTATCAACTATCAAGTATGAACAATGCTTGAAAGTTTGTATGCAATCAGAATGAATTCACTGACATCACTTTTTAATTATTTCTCAATGTTTATCACTTTAATTTATAATCAGTGATTAAGAAAGGCAAAACCCGCTGATGAAAAAAAAAGAAAAGAAAGGCAAAACGCTATGTTAATCACTTTAATTCATACTTGGAAAAGTAGAAGGAATTTCACTTTCCCTCTCCCCCCCTTTAGTTAGAGGGCTGGGAAATATTGTTTCAATTCGGTGACCAATTTGATAAAAATTATGATTAAACGAAAAAATTTGGTTAATCGACCATTTCATAACCAATTTCATTCTAAACTTAATTTTGAAAATATAGTTTGGTTTATTGAATTCTTGTGATTTGGTTAAGTTTAAACAATTTCCTAATGTAGTAAAAAATTTAAGTTAATTTTATAATTTTGCAATAGAAAATTTGATTCAGTTCGATGTATGATCAAAATTTTTTACTAAGTCAATTAAATTTGGTTTTTTGAGTCTTAACCTTAATCCGAAATGTAATTTTTATTCAGTTAAATTCTTTTCGATTAATTTAACTTTAAAGTCTTAACCTTCATGGAATTATAATTTTGATTCAGTTAAATTCAGTTTTCAACTAAATTAACGATTTTGCCATATAGTAACCAAAAACAACAAAAATTTGGTTTGATTCAAAGAGTTGGTTAATTTAGTTTTAAACCTAATAACGCCCAACCAAAATTAGTCTAGAGATAATATAATCAAAGGTTAAATTATGAAATTATATAAACTGGTCAAAATATTTTTTTAGAGATTTGCCTGAATAAGTTTTTGGTTAATTACTTGATCAGGAGAGATTTTCATAGTTCTACATAAATGCATAAAAGTTTCCCAAAGTGCATCAAAAGTGAGTTGAGCCTGGCCAGCCCGGATAAGGGGTTTAATTAACAAGTCAAATTTATAATTTTCTGAGAAAGTCTTTCAATTTGATGGATGAGATCAGGGGCTGAAGGTTGCTTGGTCCTGTAGGATTTGAGACTAATATGCATATATAAATGTTTGTAGGGTCGGAAACAAGTTTGTTAAATCACCTACCACATGTGTGTTAATTATGCATCAAAACAAATCAAACTTTATATATATATATATATCACATTGATTAATATAGAATTCTTCTTGTGAAAGTAGAGTTAGCTCTGTGCAAGAAGGTTTGTCTATCGACCATGATTGGTCCCTAATGAGATTTCTCACCTCATCCAATCCTTCACTACCCCAGTGGGATTTCCTTTCCTCACCCTTTTATTTGTGTTATGGTGTCTATTTTTCAAAGATAGTTTAAATGATTAGGAGTTTGAATATCTCTTGTACAATAATTTAATAGGTAGACTAAATGATTTAAAGAACAGAGAGAATTCCAAAACTAAAGACTAAGACTTATAAAATCAACTAA